ACCAGGTCAATATAGCTGGTAGTTATTTCTAAAACTTTTGCGCTTCTTAGTTGCCAAACTGAACGCGGAAGCTGCCGAGATAGAGTTGAACGCCGAATTACAGTCTCAAGAAATGGTGAGTTAATCTGTACAACAACCTAAATACATATCCATTCCCACGTCAGTTTGATGTCATAGATGAACTTTAACTTAAAGTGTGTGTACTAATTTAATTTTAGCTCGTTTAGTAATGATACTTCTGTTTGCCGATTTATAGGAGAAACACGGTGAACTTGAACATCAAAAACAACTCAATGAACTGGAATTACAGAAGGCCAAGGAATTAGCGGAGATTGAGGTTTGAAGCATTCTGCTTAGTGTAGTGTAGAGAATTTATTGCCTCTTCTAACATGAAACATGAAGTGTCTAACCACTGTGAACAGAGTTTTTAAGAAATCGAGATGGATTGTTCCATGGTACCCGGCCTGAAAATGCTTTCAGGAAAGCTCAGGGACCTTGAATTCACGATCATGACTTCTTTAGTTACTCAGTACATGATACCTTTGAATGCAAAGACCCACCTCCCTTTAAGACTGTTGAAAATGTACCCATGCCCGTCCGTGTCTTCTATTGTGTGATTTTTGTATTTATTTATTTTTCTGGTTAATTAAGGTATTCTTATATCTTGTTACTCTATTATTCATATACTTGGCCCTGCTGTAACAAACTGGCTGCTCAGTTGTTTCAGTTTCCTTATTACTCTAGTTACGTCTTTTGTCTACTTGTTTTGTTCTCTTCTGGCCCAGCTAATAAATAAAATAAAATAAACTGAAAAGCTCAACTGAGGTAGCCTGTTTCAGACTTTCTGATTCTCGAGGCATCGGAGTAGCGCGAGAGAGAGGCAAGCAGCCTCGCTGCTGTTTTTTTCGCCCTCGCATTTTATTCCTCAAAAATAGGCTAGCGTAAGGTCGCTAGTGATTTTGCTTTGTAAAAAAACGTGGGGTACTGATTTATATTGCACATAACTCGATATAATGATACCAGACACTTTGTCAATAAACTTTTACCTTTGTCTCTTGGTAAAATAGATCCAAAGCGGTGGTTTAAATGTTGTTTTCTTATCATAGGCTAATAAATTTGCGGCAATGGTCAAAGCTGTTGGCCCAAAGACTATCAGCAAAATTGCTCGTTCTGGTCCCGAGTCGCAGGTAAGACCCTTCTTGATCTCTGCTCTCAGAGTTTTAAGAGAATAGACGCGAACCCGCAATCTCCTTCGGTACGGGAGCAGAGAGAGCATACACTCGCCACTCGCCTCTCACCAATGTGGCCCGGGTTCGAATCCCGTGGTGGACGCCTTATGTGAGTTGAGTTTGTTGTTGGTCCTCTCCTTTGCTTCGAGAGGTTTTTCTCCGGGTACTCCGGTTTTCCCCGCTCCTACACTTTTAAATTCCAGTTCGGGCTGGAACGCACGGACACGTTGAAACGAGTTGTAAAGAACTCCTAAGTACTTAGTGGGCAAACAAATTACAACAAATTACAAATACGTTGAGAGGTGTATCTCGCTTTAAATGGCTCTAAGTACAGTCAGCTTCAGAGTTTTGTTGAACAGATAGTTATGATGGAGGTCTCCGAGGTATACTGCTTACTTAAACTTCATATCTCAGGATAAACTTGTAGCTGTTCAAAAAGCCTCTTGACCACGACTGTGGACTTCGTCACTTTGCGCGAGTTGAGAATGTACGTTGACAGACTAACGGTGAAATTTGTCTGACCCAGACTTCTTTTGATTCGGGTCTCGAGCAAGTTCGTTCATACGCGTGGTAACTTTTGCCTCGGTTCGGTCACTTGAGTGACCCGATTTATATGGCTCTTTTCACTACCTTTCCCAATTTAACGGGGTTAAATCTAGGTTCGATTACCCGCCGCTGTTCGGGAAAATGAGCCCGCACTCATCCCCCTTCGGGGAGGATAAAAGAGCGGACCCGGGAGACGGCGGAAATCGAGCCTAGGTTAAATCCAGCTGAGAATCTTGGTCTGACAACTGATCTTCCCCGATGAGCAGGAAGAAATTAAGCTTCAACAGTAATTTATTTCTATGTTACTCATATGACTGATACCATTCCTTCCCCGACAGGCTGGCCTTCTCAAGGGACTGGGAATACAGAATGTGTTGATCACTGATGGAACTACTCCACTAAATTTGTACCAGTCTCCTGGCGGATTCATGCAGTCCGGAATGACAAACTAGAAAATTCTAACCATTTAAATGATATATTATATGCATTTTTTTCGCACAGGAAGGGTCCTTGTTCGGCGGCGGATTTACGGTTCCATAAGAGATATACCCATTCGTTTAAACTACAATCTGTTTAGCCTGGAAGGTGAAATCGTAACTGGATTGTGAAGAATTTAGGAGATCATAAACTCCGTTAGATTCTTCCCATCCCCTTTCACGTTAAAAACCCCCAAGAATTATTTGTTAGCAATTAGAAAATTTTTCTATGATTGAACCCACTCTTAAACTCTGTTGAATCGTACTGCACTCAAAAGAGTTGAAGTAAAGAAAATGTAAGGAAACTCGAGTGCATATGAATTTAATAACTTCTAAGTAAATCTCTAGACTCTATTTTTGTGCTTGTTAGTTTCATATAAGGTCTGTTTAGTAATGCTATATGTGAAAGTATACCTTACTCACTTGTCTTATTATTCATTCAAAACATTTGTCCGTTTCTCTATTAAACGATCACTTTGACAAGATGTACCATACTAATGTAGCAGATAAACAACTGTGTATAAAGCCGGGTGTTTCGGGGTTTTTTACTTCCTCTCCTTTGACACAAGAAAAGGTAGAGACAATGTTGAGGTCGATCTGTCCGATCTCTTATCGTAGGACAGATATTTCGCTGTTTCATGATCCTGAGCAATTCTTAAGTTTGTCAATCCTGTATTAAACGATCAACCTTGACTGTAACTACCGGGTATTTTGAAGATTTTGTCAAATGCATTTTAATGATTTTGTAAATATCGTGAAAAAATAATTTTCCTCGCGTTAGTAAACATCGCCATGCTAACTTTCGTCGCTTTTGTAGTGCTTGTTGGTACAGCTGCATCATTCAACGCCTTAACTTTGTCTTCAGTCACCAGACGCCATTTTGACTTCAAATTCAAAACAGTGAATACCCTAGTTATGGGAGCCAATTAATAATTGAACTGACCAAATTTTTAGAGAGGTAATAATAACCTTTACCTGGCTCGAAATACATGATCCAGTAAGTCCATATCAGCCTAGTCCCCAGGCTTTTTCGGCTCGGTCGTTCCTGGACTCTACCATGAGCTGTGACGTCACCGACAGATACTCGCCCGCTCTCTCCCAGACTTGGCGCGGACAACGGATTAAGAGAGAACGCTTAGGGACTAGGCTGAGTCCATACAATGCGATGCGACAGGGGCCGCAGAGCAGTATTTAACTGAGCCGTCCCTCGATTAATCGCTTCACAAACCCTCTCGCCATCTTCTCTTTTCTTTATCCCCTCCCTGTCAAGTTAAAAATTGACAACTTGGATAACAAACATAGCTGAAGTGGAGTCTGATGCAGCAAAACCAAGAGACTATAAAGGGGACAGAGAGGCCATCCCCCATATACACCCTATTCCATAGGTAATTCGTCTCGAGTTATTTTTAACACCACAGATCTCGAGGGGGATTAAACAACAGCCAATCACATAGCGCGAATGTGTTCCGCGTGGATGACCCACGCTGAGAGCCACGAAATGACGCAGAACAAAATGGGGGAAGACGCGAAGAGCGATTTTGCTATTCCTTTTGTCGACGAAAACGACTACAGCGAGATTTCTGCGAAAGCTGTGTCAGCGAAACCGAAATTAAAAAAGAATCGCCCTTCCTCTCTTGTATAGAGCTAACAGTAGAGCAGGGAAATCCTTAACACCCTGAATATTCTCTCAGGATCATTTATAATTTACAGTTTGAAGAGAGCAATTTCTGGTTTGATGTTTATTTTTTTCAGTCTTTATAGCGATTATTCCTACCCACCTACTTTGTCAACTGTAGGCGAACCCTCCTAAACCTGAATTTCAAGGGACCATATTCAAGCTCAGAAAGAGAAATAATATTTCGTCGTTACTTATTTACGTCCTCCATAAAACGCGAAATTAGGCATTTTCACGTCGTAGTCGTGCAAAAACGGGAAAGAAATGAACAAAAAAAGTGTGTTGCACGTGCGAATTTTTTTTTTTGCTAATTAAACCTATTGTTTTTTTGATGTTCTAGTTGTCGTCCGCGTCGTTGGATCTTAAACTCCCTAAATTGTACAAACGACCGGTTTCAATAGACCGGCGAAATTTCTCATTTTATTAAAGCACTGAGGTTACGACAACTTCGAGTTAAACTGATTTCACGGGTTGTCAAAGAGTCCAGCGATTCCTTTTTCCCAGGTGAGCGCCGACTCATTTCGCTTCAATATTCAGGAATGCTCTCGATCTTTTTACGCTTTCATTGCCTCTCGCCCGACATGTTTTGCACGGCGTTTGGTCATGCGAAACCTCCACGAAACATCCACGCCTCGCGCGAGGTAACTTTATCCCGATTCTAAAAATAACTCGAGACGAATTACCTATGGAATAGGGTGTACATGGGGGATGGCCTCTCTGTCCCCTTTATAGTCTCTTGAGCAAAACTGATCAGTGATGATTCAAGCTCTGATGTTGAGTACTGAAATTTATCAAGGAACCAAATTTGGAACACTTAAAAAGCCCATGTTCAGTTTATTTAATGTGATTGTTTTTTAACATTTAATGGAATAATAAAACAGAATATATAGGGCATGACTTCCAGTGAGCAATATTTGAAATAAACGCCGTCCCTCGAATAATCGCCCCTTTTTGGTGCGAAAAAAAGGAATAATCGCGCCCGTCTATTGTCGAGGAAATACTGTATGGAAATACGAAAAAGAACCTCGATATAAGTTAACGAACCTCGTTATAACGAAAATATATCGAGGTTCCATGGTACTTAATTTTATTTATTTATTTTTCAAAAAGTGGGGGCAGCTGCTCCCCCCAAACTCCCCAGCCCCTCCCCCTGCGCGGGCCCTTTGCGACTGTTACACTGTTACGTAACCGGCAAGCCGTTTTGAGATTGGGATGGCTGTGATCTTGACTCGAACTCTGCCCGGCATATTTGTCAATGAAAGTAACATTTTTAATCGTAAAATCAGTGCTGTTTGTACGTCTTTGATCGCCTCATAAATGCTCATGTTTTTGGTCGGAATGAAAACATCTGTAGCAAATATGTCTCGCATCCGCTTTCCGCATTATTATTTTTTTTTAACATTTTCCTGATAAAAAAACAGGGGCACCCAACGAGAATATAGTTCAAAACCACTTAAACATAGTAGTGTTAAACGTATTTTAGTATTTAAACATATTTTTATCCCCTAAAAAGTTTTCCTTCTGTTCGGATTTCCTAGCTGAAAGTCTACTGATCCGAAAATTTTAGGGATCAAAACTTACCTTTTTGAAAATTTCAGCCAGAAAAAAAGCTCCCGCGATTCTAGGTGACCTTTTTAGGGTAAAAATTCGTTAAAAATGGGCAGTTATACCATTTTTTAGATGTTAGAAAGTCCTAGCAGAGGCAGGGAAGCAAGAAATGTTACAACAAATGTTCCGAAAATTCTAGATCTCAAATCGTCTTCCGAACAGTTATATTCGAAAAATTGACCGCGTTGTGCCAGTTGTATCATTGTCTCTCCCTGCTATTTACTTCAGTGAAGATGATACTTTAGACATCAAGTGTACTTACAAGGTCCTTTTTTATACGTCGAATTTAAAGCAGCTTACTAGTCCAGTCTTGAGCAAACAAAACCCTTTTTGTTAATGAGAATTTGGTTAACACTGAATACCTGCAACTCTAACGCGAAACGGAAGAGGAAAGACAGTATTAAAAGGTGCAACACGATATTGCCGGACGTGAAAAACAGTAAAGCAAGTTCAATTACAACAAAACCGCAATATGAAAAAATATTTTTAACCACTGAAATTCAATTTCACCTGCGTTTCTAACGGAGCAGCAACCAAATGCAAATTTCGGTCATTGTTGCCTTGTGTTTTTGTGGTAGATATCCTATTGTGTAGATAAAAGTATGGAAATCACCCACAAAATATATAGTTCCTACAATTTAGAAATATTCATATGAAGCGTTACGTTCTTCATATAAAAAATACATATTATTCGCATCTCATTCAGTGTCACATTAGTAGAATTTACAAGCCATTACCAAACTTTCGTGCTTGAAGTTGGAAAAAATTATGCTCATTAGCAAGCTGTTTTTCATCTGTCCTTATTTGATCTTGGGTGGTAGAACATCTGCCTGCACGGGAAATTTGCCATGCCACTGAACCAATTACCATAGAAAATCTTTTGCAAAACAAACTTGTGTTCTCCTTTTTTCGGGCATTTTTCAGTCGACAGCAACAGGAAAAAAAAAAGTCAAAATGTATTCTTAAGTGATTTCTTTCGATTTTCACCCAAGCAATATTTATCGCGTTCTTTGTTCAATGTCCGCCAATCATGGAATATTGAATTACAATAGGGCTTTGTTCAATTATTTGCCTTGACAACCGTCCCCGCATAATTGAGATCAAATGTGTGGCGCTTGTCTGCGATAACAATGGTCGACGCAGGCAACCTTTGTTTGACACTTCCGCCATTCGGCGTGCTTTCAATTCCTCGCATTCTATTGGCTTACTAGAGAACAATGCGGCCCACACAGTGAATAACCTAAAGGAAAACAGATATTGTTCCTTTCGGCATTGTTCAAAGACAGTTTGGATTTTCGCCATTTGTTTTCACTTTGGCGTTGAAAATCCGTCTCTAAACCACCAACGATTGTTAAGATTTGAAGATTTTCGTCCGAAATTGGAGCTCACATTTCGTAAAACTCGCGCGTTTTCCGCATTATCACGTGTTTCCTACTCGTCACGTGATAAGAAGAGATGTCATTTCTCTACCAGTGATATTGAAGTTGTGATCAAACTCGACAATGGCTGCGGTAGCGACAGGAGTGAATAACGCGATCTCCAACGGGCCTGAACTCGGTGAAGTGAAAATTGAAAAAGTAGAACAGATCAACACGAGTGATCAGAACTTTAACTGGAAAATTGCGACGACGGCGCCGACCTTTGTCGACGCCAACACGTTAAATGCGACGACAAACGTAACAGAAAATAACACAGCATCGGAGAACAGTGTGGTAGTCTCTAATACTCAAATCGATGGTTCAACTTTGAAGCTCGTTGGTTTGCCATTGAAGACGCAAATTATGCCTGGACCGTACTCCGAAGTGCAACTGCCGAAAAAGGAGAATCACGTTAAACGGCCGATGAATTCATTCATGGTTTGGGCACAATCTGCGAGGAGAAAACTAGCCGAGCAGTATCCTCATGTACACAACGCTGAGCTGAGTAAAATGCTGGGAAAACTATGGCGAATGCTTCCTGCGGCTGAGAAACAACCCTACGTTGACGAAGCGGCGAGATTAGATAAAAGGCACAAAGAGGAATTCCCCGACTATAAATATCGACCGAGAAGAAGGCAAAAATCGATGAAACGACCGTACGTTCAGGCACGAGTGGCAGTGACTCCGGGCTGGGCTACAAGCGGTCAAGCGCAAACTCCGATTGCAATGAATGGGACGGCAACAATCGCTACCCAGAACGGCACGTTTCCACAAGCAGTTTTACCGCAAAATTCCCAAGTAGCTCAAGTTTTTCAGCAAGGAATACAGCCAGTTCAAGCGGTGAATACCGCTGGCACTGTAACTTACGCCCCAATCGGGAGCGTGGGCTATGTACCAACGACTCCTATCCCGGGAGGTAGTATGATTTTACGACCGACTTTTGTTACTACGGCTGTAACGAACCCTACATCCATCCAGTCAGCAGCTACTGTAGCAGTACAGGCGGTGAGAAGTACTGTGGCAACAACATTTCCTACTCCAAGTTATGCCATCCCTCTCACCCAGTACGCGGGTGCTCCAATCATTGTTTCGAGCGGTGTCAATAATTTGGTTAACGCCGCTGAAAACACAAACAATACATCAGAGAAAAGTTCTGAAACTGCAGCTCTAACTACTATCACTATCCCTGCCTCCATAGCTGGCTCTGTGGGTACTAATTTGGCGACTATCGCTGCTGCTGGACTTGTGGCCGCTAACCCGGATGGCTCATCACAACAACCCAAGAACAATGAAAGCCAACCCGATGTGCAAAACAGTTCCGCTTTAACCGTAGCTGTCTCAGAAACCACAGAGACACAAACTGAACGTTCAACTGCAGATCGTTCGCAGAGTATTGAAGTGAAAACCGCTGAAGGCTGCCGTATTTAATTGGGGAATACAATAATATCTATCGTGGAAGTCTTGGTAGGCTATATACAGCATTTCTAAACTAGCGCATCCAAATTTTTGTTTATTTATTTACTTTTTAAAATTTGTAACATGGTATTCGAGTTGGCCACTGCTAGCTCTGCACGCAATTCGTATTTTCCAATTGTCTCGGTTTTGTCCTCGAAGTTTAGATTTTGTACACGTGCGATTATACTTCCATTGTGTACTCACATGTTGCACAATTACATAAATGGACTGCAATTTTCAGACATGAGCAATTGTCTGTACAGAATACCTTGATTATGTTTTGCCCAATGTTCCTCACGTCATCGAGTTGTCTTTTGTTCAAGGCCATTCTTAATAATGTACTCGTGTTTTTTATTGTTTGCCGTTTCTAAGCGGTGTTTCACAATTCAAAGCATTTTTAATTGCTTAGAAGATTAACAATTTTTGCCGTGCTTTTTTCGCTCGGTCACTCAACGGTTATTCGTTCGCTTGGTTTTTCTTCGACTATTCAAATTATGCCTGCGATTTCACACGCCTTTTCAAAACAAGGTGTGTCTTACGTTTCGAGTAAATTCGACTCTCCAAATTTCTGTGCAAACGTTGAGTAACAGTCCAGATCACACAATCGTTCAGTAGGTTTTGTTTATGTACAGAACCACCGTTCTAGCGCGATCAGTTTTGAGGTATTTATTGCCAGACGAGCATTCATTATTTATTTTACTTTACAAGCGGGACTGATTTTCTCTGTCAAGGACGTAAATGAACCAGCCCCAATTGAAAGTGGTGTTGACGGCCGTCAGCGAATGAATATTGTATATTAAATTGTTTCCCGGTCATTGTCCCTGGAGCACCGAAAAGATTTGATTGTTTTAGTTGACACAATGCCTTGTACATTTCAATGGTTTGAACTCGTGCAAATATCTATTTCAGAAATGTAGTCTATTTCAGGCTTGTATCAAGGCGAAGTTTCTTGATTTAGACTTTCACCTCATTTGTACCGTATATAACCTCTCTTTCTCAGTCTTTTTTTTCTCAAAGTTAACCAAAGTTAAGGCTCAAGATTATGTTTTGTGAGCGTATTTCTCCCAGCTTGAACAAATTTTTAAAAGCACTTGTGACTGCTGAAGTTTCATGTCAGATACTGATTACATGGGGTGCATTGGGCAAAAATGATCTGTTCTTTGTAACATTGTATTTGAAGCATTTTGTAGTGACAACAAAGTGTGCTGGGTAGCCTAATTTTGAACCTAAAATATGTCTGAATATAAATTTCCTGTGGAAGATACATCCTACATGAACCTCTAGTACATCTGCCACAAGAAACAACATGGATTCACCTTGCAGAATTAGAGTGCAGTTTTATCATCAATTTCTTCTGCTGCTTTAACGTGAGGTAACGGCTGTGTTCAGTTTTCAATATCTGAAATGTCTAACCTTCTCATTAAACAGCTAATGTTGCCAAGTATATGCTCCAAACATTCAAAGCAGATAAATGCAACTACATCAGAAACAAAGTTAAAATAATATTATAATCAAAATGTCTCATACTCAGAGCTGTATGTAGGCAGGTTACAAGTGGAGTTTTTTTAACCCATGCATGACAAAGCTTTAAGGTAGAATAATTATTACTTCTCAATCAAGCAAAGTTTTTTCTTATTTTGTCTTTATTAATTTTAAAATTGGTACTTGTGGTATTTAAGTCTAGATTTGGTGGTTTCATTTGGCTCTTAAGTTGACAATTATCCTGCATGTGGATATTCTACTTTTATTCAAGTAGTTATAGTATCTAATTTTTGTGGTTATGAAAGGTGGGACAAGTGAATTATTGTTAACTTTTATCTTTGTGATCCTATACCAAAGTAAACTATAACAATGTTCTTTGACACTTAAAAAAATTTGATGAAAGTTTCAGGTGTAAGTCCTTCAAGGTCACATTCATGTGTAGGTTAAGCAAGAAATTTTCATTCATATCTTCTAAGGGGTTCCTAGAGAAGCCATTTTAATAATAATTATTCTATTAATTGACTTAAATGGTGGTAGTTGGTTTTAAGCTTATTTAACAACTAAAGATACATTAATTATCATATAGTTTAGAATATAAAGTTTATAATAGTTAATTTCAGCATACAGTATATATATACAATTTGACATTCTGAGGTTGAAATTCACCTTCGTTTTACAGTAATTGATTTTAAACAGACATACAAGACCATAAACATTCTCAGAGTAACTGTTCATATAGTAAATAATATAAATATGGTGTCTGATTCAAGGTCGTAGGAAAATTTTTACTATTTGTAACATATATTATGCATATAGTTACCATGTAACTAACAGAGTAATCATGAACTTTGTGTTATTGTAAAGCATCATATATTTGATTGCATGCATGAGATAAAAAGACCAATTTTATCAATGAAATTTAAAGGACATTAATGTTATTATTTTCTTAGTCAACGTCCACACCTCTCCTCCCGGCTCCACCCCTGACAAAGACACTTGTGACTGTAGCACCTTGAAGAGCTGGGTGTCTAAGCTACAAAAGCGTCTACTAAATAGGCGGGAGTCTGTCTGGTTATCCATTATTAGAGACCTTATGAAACTACGATGGCGACAGCAATGGGAACATCTAAAACACAATTAGTGTTATGAGCAAAACAACAACTCTGCACATGCATCACACTTTTTTGCACATTTCTTTGCCATCCCCGCACAGCTACGACGTAAAATGAACAAATTTTGAGTTTACTTGAGAACAGGAACAGCAACGCAATAAACTTTGCTGTTGCTCTCTCTAAACTCAGATGCAGTCCCCTCTCTTCAGTTCGAACATAACTTCTGTACTTCCAGGTAACTGGGTGACTTAGTATAAGGTCAAAAAAGTTTCAAAGGACCCGAAGTCTGTTTGCAGCAACATTTTCATTGGTGTCGCCATTGTGGGATTGTAATGCCCCTATTGTTGGTCTTGGAGACACAAGTCAGTAAAATAGTAATGACACTCCTGCACTTGAAAAAACAATTCAACAAATATTTCAAGACTAAGTCCACAAGGAGAAATTTGGTGAAAACAATTTACTGCATTGCAGTTATACATATGGAAAACCTAACAGTTGGAAGCACTTGTTGTGTGTGAGTAAGATTTTAGTATTTGTTTGGTTACCATTAGTAAGATGTTAATGTCTGTTGTGAGGGTGTTAATTAAGTACATGGACCCATGCACATGATATGTGCATTAGCTTATTTAAAACTGCAACCCAAGTATTGCCACACTGTGTTACGCAAATAATTCACTATAATTGTCGTCTATGGCAGCTTAGTTTTAAGGCTTGTCTGTATTCTTAAACAAGTGACAAAAGGCATTTTGAAACAGTGATTTTCCTAGATGCAAGCAATTGAATCAAACTTTTAGTAGCCAGATTAATGAGCCCCTTAAGTCTGTTTACTGATCAGCACCTAACTTCTCCTTGTAATATGAGTATGAGTGGAGTCAGGTTGTGGAAAGTTGCGATGTACCTAACCTCCCACGCAGACATTCTTAGGGGTTTGTCACGCGTTACTGTCCCACAAACCAGGACCGCCTGATGAACCCCTTAAGAATGTCTGCATGGGAGGCTACGATGTACCTGGTGCCTTGATGTTTAAAGGGGTTACCTAATCAGATTTTTTTTGTATTTATCCCAAAGTTTAATCAAAAGCGATAAAATATTCTTCATTCATTGCTTCTCTTGATGTTATCCAGGGTTTTTTTGTGATCAGAAAACTAGGTACATCAGTTTCGTGAATTTTGGGGTTGTTGTAGCCTCTTTAAATATCTACCCACCAGTTACAAAATATCCTTGGAGACTGGTGAAAAACTGTCTTTTATGCTGACATAACATTTGGGTAAAACCATTAAGCAATAATGTGGTATTTCACCTAAAGACGTTCATAAAATGAAGAAAAGGTGCTAAATACATTCTTTTCTTTCTTAGCCATGTTGTGTGGTATATATTGTAAAGGAAGCTGGTTCTGCATCCATGTTAGTCAATGATAATTATTTAATGTCAGTGTTTTTACCAAGAATAAACTTGAAGAACGCCATAAACGTGTGTTGGGTTGTCTTTGAGTTAAAGGAAAAAATTTGCTGTTGTACAGTTTGTTTGAATAATGTAAGGAGAGGAAATGCTTCTAGCCTACGGGTCTTTACTAGAGACGATAAGAAGCTTAATAAATAATTTTTAAATTCTGGTTTTGAAAATTCCTTTTTTCTTTATTTCAAACTTTTGGGGTTATTAATAATTTTCACAAAGTTTAAAGGTTTCTGGTGAAACAAAGCAATCATTGCGGGCGTCAAGAGGAGCTCGCAATCCATTCTCGTCCCCAGAGCCCGTCGTTTCTTGGTCACGTGGTTGGGAAACGAGGGGCCGAGTGGCTCTGAGGACGAGAATACTCGCAATCGTAATCTCCACGTTGTTATTACGCATGCGTCGCATGTATGTACCCAGCATTCGTTCATTCTCGTCCACAGAGCCATTCGGCTTAATTTGTAACGAACCGGTGACCAAGAAATGACGGGCTCTGGGGACAAGGATGGCGTTCGTTTGGACTTCCACTAAGAATGATGGCATGCATAGAACGCAATTTGATCACGTGCGTTTGGACCTTCTATCACTCGAAATCTGATCACGCACGGTTTTGACCATCTGTCACGTGAAACTTACGCAAAGCACAGCGTTGGAGCAAAAGCGTTTTGACCGTCGTCGTTGTCGCCCGCACTCTGGAACCTTTGCTTTTTACTAGTTTATTAATACTAGAAGTAACCAGGGATTAATAAATGCGTTCGAACATTGGTCATGGGAATTGAGGTTGGTGCAGGGTGTCTCTTTGAAGATACTTGGCGCAGAGACTAAAGGGAATAATACAAAAGAAATGAATTATTCTTTCCTTGGATCCAAGGATGAGTTTTATTAAAATTCGAAACTGTGTGTGGTATTTATACGTACGAAATTTTCAAAAAACATTACATTTACTTCCAAAAAGGATTGAGTTTAAACTTACCGAGTACAACAGACCTGACGAGCAGTTGACTTATGAAGAAGATGAACAGCACAGACGAAGAATATACTTAGAATTTGTGATGTAAATACTAATTTTTAATTACTTGTAACATTTTAGCATAGTTAATTGAGTGGAATGGTTATGAAACCCGTCAGACTCCTTTGTTATATGTTTTTGTGGACCTGAAAGTGCACAACGTTCAAAAGAATTGCTATCATTTTGATTGTATTGACCAATAAAAACGTTGCATTAATTTATTCCGTAACAATTTGCCAACAGAAAACAAAGGATTGTGCACTTTCAGGGTGCTTCCAACATAAACTGCAGCACTGTTGTCTTTATCATTGATGTTTGCCGCTTTTCATAACCAGTCTCCTCTAATAACTATGATTTTAGTGGGTAAAAATTAGTTACTATACAATGATAATACTAGTAGTTTTGTATTTCTTCTGTTTTTTTTTGGCACGGCCTTATAAGCTTTTCAGCTTTAATTACTACCGTGGATAAGTTAAGTCTGTTGATAGATTGATTGATAGAAAACGAGCAAAGCTGCACGTGGAAGAAAAACATTCGGGCGCATTCTGATGCTTTTAGATGCGCGCGCACCTTGCCCGTGGAGTCTGTGACATATTTCCGGTAGTTGAACCAACCTAAAAATCGAGATTCTTTCTGCTAAATGCTTGTGCCTAGGCTTCTCGCGTTCAGTTTAGGTTGAGTCCTCCCGACGTCGAACGCAATATACAGACTACCGTATAGAGGAGTTCACGATCATAGTTGCATTATGGATAATCAGGGCAAGAACCCAGCTAATTCTTCTTAAATTCGTATATTTGATGCTTTCTCCATGAAAAGAGTAACTTAGGAGGTCAAAGAAACTATACCTTAAATCTGCAGTGCAACGAAGTCCGTGATCAGTTTCTAGAAAACCTTTACAACAATTGAGGTTTTCTAAAAACTGACCACGGACTTCTCCTAAGTTACTCTTTTCAAAGAGAAAGCATCAAATATGTGAATTCAGGAAGAATTAGCTGCGTGGCTTTGAATTCCAATACAAATCTTTGAATTTCCCGCCATCTTCCCCTGATTACCCATGATGCAACAATGAGCGTGAACTCCTTTATTCACTCGAATAAGCGCCACACTTGGGACAAAAAAACCTACAGCGGTTACCACTAACACGCTCCCTCGAATGATTTTTTTGTCTGTTGAAACCATTGTCGTCCCTAGAGCCACTCGGCTAAATTTTTAACGAACCAGTGGAACCTGAGTTTTCGTGGACGTCAATCAACGATTTCCATGGTCTTCTCACGTGCTCTGATAAAGAAGGTTCCCTCGTCGCTGAATGAAGGACGAAGACTTACCAGACC